TTAGAATGAACTTGTGACTTAGAAATTATGTAATCACTTAATCACAATAAAAAAAGAATTTCGGGGAAGGTAGGGAGGGAGGGGATGGTAGGGGGAAAACAATGGAGGGGGTAACAATGTTCAAGAGGAAGTGTACTCATTACCTCACTCATGTAACTGTAACCCTCTGTATAGTATCTTTACAATAAAAAATAAAGAGATTAAAAAAAAAGATGCTGTGGACTCAGGGGAGCATGACCACACAGACTGAGGCTGGGGGAACCTCTCCAAGGCAGAGGAGGCGGCAGAGGGCCTGAGTTGTTTCTTGGTAGGTGGGTGAGTTCAGGGAGAGGGCAATGGAGGTAGGTCAGGACTGGGGCTTCTTTTTTCTCCAGTAGATGATAGGATATTTCTTTGAGAGCCAGAAGCGCTGGAATCCACAAATCTGTGACTCATCTCTCCAGGAACTTTTGCTAGTATAGATTTATCATTAAGAATTGTTTATCTTCGCCAGGCGCTGGTGGCTCACGCCTGTAATCCTAGCTACTCAGGAGGCTGAGATCTGGGGATCCCGGTTCAAAGCCAGCCCGGGCAGGAGAGACGGTGAGACTCCTTTCTCCAGTAAACCACCAGAAAACCGGAAGTGGCGCTGTAGCTCAAGTGGTAGAGTGCTCGCCTTGAGCTGAAGAGCTGAGGGACAGCACCCAGGCCCAGAGTTCAAGCCCCACAACCAACAACAACAACAAAAAAAGAATTGTTTATCTTCATGGCCAGTGTTTGGAGACACATTTGCAAAACAAAGGGGTGCCATATAATTGTCCAAATGCACCAAGACGCACAGCCTTGTCCTCTGTCTTTTGAAATGGGTGCACCGAGGCCCCTCACCTGGAATGATCCTGGAGCTGAGTGCACAGGCCCGAGATGCTGCAGGAGCCTAGAGGGTGAGCAAGACCTCTTCAAGTCTGCAATTTAAAAGGGCCTTACTGGAAATGCGGGCTGGGGTGCAAATTGAAGGAATAAAAAGTTGAAGAAGCAGAGCCTGAAGAATGGGTTGTGGAAAAAGTACTGCACCAACATGTAGTAAATAGGAAGGCAGAGTATTTCCTGAAGTGGAAGGGGTTTACAGATGCTGGCAACACTTGGGAGCCTGAAGAAAATTTAGGTAGTCCAAAATCAATGGGAACATTTCATAATTCACAAAAAGCTGGTAGTGGTACAAAAAGAAAATCTATCTCTAACAGTGAAGCTGATTATAGCAGATCAAAGAAGAAAAGATACTGCTGACAGAGGAGCTTTGCCAGGGGTCTTGATCCTGAACAAATAATTGCCACAGATAGTGGAGAATTGATGTTTCTCAAGAAATGGAAAGATTCAGATGAAGCTGACTTGGTGCTGGCAAAGAGGCAAATATGAAGTGTCCTCAAATTGCAATTTGTTCTTACGAAGAAAGACTAATTTGGCGTTCTTGCCCAGAAGATGAAGCTTAGTAAATGTTTGCATTGTTGATATGTGCGAACATGTATATATAAAATCTGAGTTTTTAAAATTAATGGTGTAAACTACATTCTAACAAAAATAAATTTGATAAGTTGTTTTTGAAGGTAGTATTAGACTTGCTGAGACAGTTTTGTTTTGTTTTTCCAATAGCACTGGTTACTTTGAACAAATAAAACCTTTCTCTAGGTGCTTCCTTTCCTTTTTTTTTCTTTTTCTGTTCCAGTCCTGGGGCTTGAACTCAGGGCCTGGGCTCTGGCTTGAGCTTTTGTGTTCAAGGCTAGTGCTCTATCACTTGAGCCACAGCTCCACTTCCACCTTTTCTGGCACTTAATTGGAGATAAGAGTGTGATGGACTTTCCTGCCTATGCTGGCTCCCAACTGAGATCCTGAGGTCTTGGCCACCTGAGTAAGGATTACAAGTGTGAGACACTGGTACCTGTAGCATTTGATTCAATGGTGCATTTCCTCTGCACTCATCAGAGGGATGGTTTTTGTTTGTTTGGTTTGGTTTTTGTTAGGCAAATTTTCCGGTCACTACTTAGCCAGAACAACTTTGATATGTTGAAGTGCCATCCTGAAATTTTTTGTTTGTATATGCACATAAATCACATAATTTTATTTGTTTTTGGAGATTTTGCTTGATTAGAGGTGCTGGACATCAAATTGCCCCCCTTGTTTAAAATTTTAATTTTCTGTGCCAGACCTGGCGCTTCCCCTGAGCTTTATCCTCTCCACATCGGTACTCAACCGCTTGAGCCACAGTTCCACTTCAGGATTCTGTGGTAGTTAACTGGAAATAAGAATCTCAAGGACTTTCCTGCCCAGTCTGGCTTTGAACCTCAGTCCTCAGATCTCAGCCTCCTGAGTAGCAAGGATTGCAGGCGTGAACCTTTGGCACCAGTTTGTCTGTCTGTTTGTTTGTTTTTGAGACAGCATCACTAGGTACCTTAGATTGGCCTTGAACATGCTAGATAGCCAGGCTAGCCTCAAACTGTAGGTCTCCCTGCCTCTGCTATAGCTATATAAATGCAATAGATTTCTTGCAAAGTTTCCTGAAAGGGAAAATTTTCTCTACCAACAACTTCCTCCACCCAGATGAGAAAATTAAGACAAATCTTGATTTCCTTTAATTAGCTAAGCAAAACTATGTGGACATTTAAAACTTTCCTCAGTAAGTCATTCCTTTACAGAAGATTGAAATACATAATACTCAACGCTCATGAATCGTGGGACATCTAATATTCAGTCCATGGAAATAATTGACTGGTTAGAGATTTTGACAGTTTAGAACCTGCTAGCACAAATGTGTGAACAGATTATGTGTGTGTGTCCGCACACACCAGTTCTGGGGCTTGAACTCAAAGCCTGGCCATTGTACCTGAGCTTTTGTGCTCAAGGCTAGCACTCTACCACTTGAGCCACAGTGTCACTTCTGGCCTTTTCTGTTTATATGGTACTGAGGAATCAAAAACAGGTAAGCACTTTACCACTAAGCCACATTCCCAGCCCAATGTATATTATTTTCTTTATTGTAAATATGGTGAACAGTGGTCAGCAGTACACTAAGGTGCCTGGTGCTACATGTTTCTTGAAGAGCACTGCAATTTAAATTCATCATTTATATATATTTTAAAATACTGGTTGGTATAAACAGTTTATAATTTATAAACCTAGTTTATAATTACATTTGCTTTTATTTTCTAGGTAAAAATGAATGCTTAATTTGTAAAGTTCCTTGCCATACCGTTTTGCTCTCAAAACATGTAAGTTGAAATCTCTAAAATTTGATTGTGAGTGTACATGTGTGTGTGTATGTGTGTATGTGTTTGTGCATGGGTGAGTTTGCACATGCACACCCATCCACCCTGGGATGGCTTAGACACTGACTGTCCCTTAGCTGTTTTGCTCTCAGCTGGCACTCTATAATTTGAGCCAGAGCTCTACTTCCAGGTGGTTTTTTTTGGCAGTTAATTGGAGAAAAATTAAGATTCTTAAGGACTTTCCAGCCCAGGCTGGCTTCGAACCAAGATCTCAGCTTCTTGCGTAGGTAAGATTACAGGTGTGAGCCACTGGCTCTTGGCTAAAATCAATATGAGTTGAAGCATTTCCTTTTAATTTTTTTTTTTTTTTTGGTTGGTCGTGGGGCTTGAACTCTGGGCTTGGGCGCTGTCCCTCAGCTCTTCAGCTCAAGGTGAGTGCTCTACCACTTGAGCCACAGTGCCACTTAAGGTTTTCTAGTGGTCTATTGGAGATAAGAGTCTCACAGACTTTCCTGCCCAGGCTGGTTTTGAACCATGATCCTCAGATCTCAGCCTCCTGAGTAGGCGAGAGCCACCGGCGCCTGGCTCCTTTTAATTTTTTTAACCTATGTCAGCATTTTTCTTAGTTTACATTAGTTATGAAGTGGGGAGTTTGTTTCCAATGTGTTCCAACCAATCTCATCCCTTCTATCACTCTACCTTACCCCTGCCCCAGACAATCTCAACAACTTCCCATGTTCTAATCTTACAGTTGCAAAACACTTATTCTGACCTTTCTTAGTCTCTTTCAGACGATATTTCAAAATTATTCACTGTGTATTTTTTTCTTCCCCTTTTCAAAACTCTCTCCTCCTAAGTAGTCCCTTAGATCCATGTTATGTAAATGGATATGCATATAGAAATATCCATGCATATTGTGTGTCTTTTAGGTCTAGCTTTCACATATAGATGAAAACTTAATTTTTTTAGCTTGGCTCAAAATGATGTCTTCCACTGGGTACAAGAGGCTTACACTTGTCATCCTAGCTACTCTGGAGGCTGAGATCTGAGGATCACAGTTCAAAGACAGCCTGGAAAGGAAAGTCCGTGAGATTTCTATCTCCAGTTAACCACCCAAAAGCCAGGAGAGCTGTGGATCAAGTGGTAGAGTACCTATCTTGAGCAGGAAACCTAGGGGACAGGGTCCAGCCCTTGAGTTTAACCCCTAGTATTGGCACCAAAAAAATAATCATGGAAAAATTATGTCTGCCAATTGCATCCATTTTCCTTCAGATGTCATGATTTCATTTTTAGTGCTGTTTAATATATGCATCATATGTAATATGTATCATATGTAATGTATATACATGTTTTTGTATGTATGCATGATGTGTACACGCATTCATACACACTATCTACTTTATCCATTCATCTGTTCTTGGGTACCTCAGCTGATTCTGTCATCTGGTTATTGTGAACAGTGCTGAAATAAACATGGCTATACAGGTATCTTCCTAGTATGTGTCCAGTAGTGGTGTGGTAGAGTCATAGGGAAGAACTACTTTTTCTTTAGCTCTTTAATTTTTTTGAGCTCTTTGTAATTCTGAATATTAATCATTAATCAAAGATTAACACAAAGATTTTCTCCCATTCTGTCTCATAATCCTATTGACTGTTTCTTTTGCTCTGCAGAAACTTTTTATGTAATTTGACTTGCCAATCCTTGCTCCAACCCCCTGGGCATCTGAAGTCCTATTCTGAATACAATTATCTATGACTATATTCCAGACTTTTCCATATATTTTCCTGTAGGAGATACAAAGTTTCAGGTTTTACTTTGAGCCAACCTGAGTTGATTTTTGTACAGGTTGAGACACAGAGGTCCCATTTCAGTCTACTGCAAATGGATAGACAGTTTTCCCAGCACCATTTGTTGAGGAGTCTGTCTTTTCTCCAATGTATGTTTCTGACTTCTTTGTCAAAATTTAGCTGATTGTAGCTCTGTTTTTATTCCTGGGCCTTCTTTACTGTTTGATTGGCCTTCAGTTCTGTTTTTGTTACTATGGCTCTGTGGTGTAGTTTGAAGTCTAATACTGTAGTGCTTATACTGGTAGCCATTTTACTTACAATTACTTTTGCTATTCTGGGTTTATTATAATTCCACATACATTTTTAGATTGATTTCTCTGATTATGTAAAGAATGATACTAGAATTTTGTATTGAATCTATGGAATGCTTTTAGCAGTATGACTGTTTTCATGGTATTTGCCAATCCTTGCTCATGGCAGGTTTTTCTGTCTCCTGATGTCTCCTTCAATTTTTTCAAGGTTTTATAGTTTTAATTATAGAGATCTTTTCTTGGTTAATGCATAAGCATTTTGTTTCTTGGGGGATATTGCTAATAGAATTCTTTTCCTTATTTCTTTCCCAGCCTACTCATTGTTGGTATACAGAAAAACTATTTATTTTTATTTTTGTTTTTTTGGTTATAGGGCTTGAACTCTGGGCCTGGGCTCTGTCCTTGAGCTCTTCAGTTCAAGGCTAGCACTCTACCACTTAAGCCACAGCACCACTTCTGGGTTTCTGGTGGTTAATTGGAGATAAGAGTCTCACGGACTTTCCTGCCTAGGCTGGTTTTGAACCACGATCCTCAGATATCAGCCTCCTGAGTAGCTAGGATTACAAGAGTGAGCCACCTGCGCCCAGCTAAAGCTATTGATTTTTTAGCATTGATTGTATATCCTGCTACCTCTCTAAAGGTATTTTTCAGTTTTAGAGATTGTTTTATGAGAATGTATAGGATCTATTTAGAAAAGAACGATAATTTGATTTCTTCTTTTCCTATTTAAGTCCTTTTTACTTCTTTCTCCTGCCTTATTGCTCTAGCTAGAAATTCTAGCAATATATATATAACAGGAGTGGGGAGCATGGATATCCTTATCCCATTCCTGACTTTAGGGGAAAGGACGTCAGTTTTTCCCCATTTAATATGATATTGGCTGTAGACGAGTCATATATGGACTATTATGTTCAGATACATCCCTCCTGTTTCCAGGATCTTCAAATTTTTTATTATGGAATGATACCAGATTTTGTCAAAGTCAAGATGAAGGGTTTTGTTTTGTTTTTGCTTTTACTTTTGAGCTCTAGTTTAATTCCATTATGGTCAGATAGAACACAACATGCCATTTCAGTTTTCTTGCATTTGTCAGCCTTCCTACATGTCTTAGGATGTGATCTGTTGAGAAAGTTCCATAGTTTGTGTCACCATTGGGTGCAATACTTTCTGGATCCCTGTTAGATCCATGCGGTCTATGGTGTCATTTAATACTGAAGTTTGTTTTGTTGACTTTTTGTTTAGATAACGTAGTGGCGAAACTGGAGTACTAAGGTCTCCAGCTATTATGCACTGGAATCTATCAGCACTTGTTAGTCCAGGAGGACGTGTTTAGTGAACCTGGGTGTGATTGTTCTTGGCACAGACATGTTAAAAACTGAAATTTCCTCATGGATTGTTCTCTTTAGTATTAATATGAAGCAACCTTCTCTGTCTTTTCTGACGGATTTTAGATTGAAGTCTGTTGTATCAGATACAAGTGTTGCTCTTTCTGCCTATTTTCTGGCGCGGTTGGCTTACAGGCCCTTTTTCTGTCCTTTCGCACGAGCCTGTGCTTGTCTTTGTCAGTGTCATGTGTTTCTTATAGGCAGCAAATTTCTTGGATCCAAGTCTTCATTCTGTTTCTTGATTGGAGAGTAAAGACCATTAATGTTGAGTGTTAACATTGAGAGCTACGCCCCTTTCCTGTCATTTTGTGATGTTTGCTAATCCACTTATAGTACTGTTCATTGTTCTCTGTGCTCTTTTGGGTTTTTTCCTTCTGTGAGTAGGATTCCCTTAACTGTCTTTTGCAGTGCTAGTTTAGTAGTTATGAGTTCTGTAGCTTTTGTTTACAATGGAGGATTTTTATTTCCCCATCAATTTTCTTGTATAGTTTCACTAGGCAAAGTAATGTAGACCATCAGTTGTTGTCTTTAGAACTTGAATTACATCTTTTCACTGTCTCATTGCATTCAGTATGTACATTGAGAAATTGACTGTTAATCTAAGGGGCTTGCTGTTGTAAGTTACTTGTCTCCTCTGTTTTGCTGCTTTCAATATTCTGTCTTTATTTTGTATAGTTAGTGATTTTACTATAATGTATCAAATTTTCCTTTCTTGTAGTGCAATTTTCAAGTTGTAATAAAGCATAGTTAATAGGGCTTCATAAAATGAATTAAAGTTAATGTCTTTTGACGTTTGCTCTCTGAGTTTTTTTTGTAAGATTGAGTTTATTTCTTAAAATGTGTTCGGCAGAATTCAGGACTGGCAATATTTGGGTTCTGAAGGTGTTCTGTTTGGAGATTTTTTGGAACTAGGGATTTGGTTTATTAAATATGGGACTATCCAAAACTCCTAATTCTTTTTGAGTTAATATAAGTTGTGTTTTCCTAAGAATTTGTGCATTTCATTAAAAATTTAAATTTCCTTATCAACATGTTTGCAATCCTCATATTTTTTGGGGGGAGGGGGGATCCGGTCGTGGGGCCTGAACACTTGGCCTGAGCACTGTCCCTCAGCTCTTCAGCTCAAGGCTAGCACTCTACCACTTGAGCCATAGCTCCATTTCCGGCTTTTTTCTTTTTGCTATGTGGTGAGGAATCGAGTCCAGGGCCTCAGGCATGCAAGGCAAGCGCTCTACCACTAAGCCACCTTCCCACCCCCAATCCTCATATTTTTTATGTCTGTAAGGAAGGCCTATAATGTTCCTTTTCATTTTAACAGTATTATTGTAACTTCTCTTTTTTTCTTGACAATATTGAAATGATTTATTGAGTTTATATTTTCCTTTTTTCTTGTTTTCTCCTTTCTTCCTTTCCTTCTTTCTTTTTTTGAAAGGGAAGACTTCATTGTGTTATTCCAATGTTCCCTTGAGCTCTCTATCCTCCTGATTCAGCCTCTGGAGTTCTGGAATTAGAGGCTTCCATTTGGAAGTCTGGCTTCCTTTTCTCTTCTTTAAAATGAGTACCTCGCATCAATTTCCACTCTTTTTAATATTTACATTACAAAGTTATAGCTTTCCCTATATGTTCATCTTTGCCTATACTACATGTATCTGATTGTGTTATAGCTTTATTATCTTTAGACTTTAAAATTTCTGTATAGTTTCTTCTATGACTTTATATGTTATCCAAAAGTATATTGACTAATTCTCAAACATTTGAGAATTTTTAGTTATTTCTATTAATTTTATTGACGTTTAACACAGAAAAGAACAAAAATTTTAAGTGTATAACTCAAGTTGTCATGATCAGAATATAGCTAACATCCAGATCAAGAAGACTTTTATGTATGGGTGCTGGAGAGGTTTGAATGTTCCCCATCAAGTTCCTTCAAATGTGGGCTTTAATCTGATCAGCTGTGCTGAGATGTGGGTCAGGTAAGAGGTTTAGGCCACAAGGCTCTACCTCATGAGCAGACAGTATGAATTCTAGAAGGCTCGGGTCTTCTGCCGTCCCTTTGCTGCCTATGCAACAGGAAGGCCCTCACTAGCATCTAGCACTTGATGGTGAACTCCCACTCCAGCAATGTGAAAATACATTTCTTCTGTGTTTCATGAATTATCCATCTTTTGATCTTCTGTTAAATGACAGCATAGCACAGTCTAAGATAGAATGATCATGAACTGGGTTTTCTTGATGGTGCAGAGACCACAGAGTGCTTTCTCTCATTCCCCCTCTCCCCTTCTTCTTGTGCTACTGATAAGGCATGGGCTCTCTCTGCGTGCTAACTCATGACTCAGCACGGCCGTATACTTCTGCTAGTTTGGATTTCCCATGTTTCCCCCATTTTCCTGCTCCTCACTGCCTCTTGAACTCTCTTTGTTTCCACCAGGGATTATTACTTTCTACCTACTGGGAATTCCTTTTATTGCTTCTCTTGGTACCAAGCTGTTGGTGCCAAGTCCTCTCACATTCCTTTTACTATTTTTTCATTGTTGATCTGTTTGTTGTCAATCATCTCAGTTTTTGTGTATCAGAACAGATGTCCTTTCCCCTTTTTTTTGGCCATTTTTTGTCTTTTTTGGTGCTTAAACTCGGGGCCTGGGCGCTGTCCTTGAGCTTTACTGCTCAAGGCTAGCACTGTACCACTGGAGCCACAGCTCCACTTCTGGCTTTTTTTAATTTTAGTTGGAGATAAGAGTCTCATGGACTTTCCTGCCTGGGTTGGTTTCAAACTGGGATCCTCAGATCTCAGCCTCCTGAGTAACTAGGATTGCAGGTGTGAGCCACTGATGCCCACCTCCTTTCTTTTTGCCATAATTTCAAAGCATATTTTCAGGGGTATAGAAGAATGCAGCTCAGAGGGGTTGGTGGCTGCCAGCTGGCTCTACCTCTGAGCTCCGTTTCTGCCTGGCTCAGTCCTCAGAGGGACAGCCTCCCGGCACGGTCCTCAGAGAGACAGCCTCCCGGCACGGTCCTCAGAGAGGCAGCCTCCCGGCACGATCCTCAGAGAGGCAGCCTCCCGGCACGGTCCTCAGAGAGGCAGCCTCCCTGCACGGTCCTCAGAGGGGCAGCCTCCCGGCACGGTCCTCAGAGGGACAGCCTCCCGGCACGGTCCTCAGAGGGACAGCCTCCCGGCACGGTCCTCAGAGGGACAGCCTCCCGGGGTCCTCAGAGGGACAGCCTCCCGGCACGGTCCTCAGAGGGACAGCCTCCCGGCACGGTCCTCAGAGGGACAGCCTCCCGGCACGGTCCTCAGAGAGACAGCCTCCCGGCACGGTCCTCAGAAGGACAGCCTCCCGGCACGGTCCTCAGAGAAGCAGCCTCCCGGCACGGTCCTCAGAGAGACAGCCTCCTGGCACGGTCCTCAGAGAGACAGCCTCCCGGCACGGTCCTCAGAGGGACAGCCTCCCGGCACGGTCCTCAGAGGGACAGCCTCCCGGCCTCCCGGCACAATCCTCAGAGAGGCAGCCTCCCGGCATGGTCCTCAGAAGGACAGCCTCCCGGCACGGTCCTCAGAGAGACAGCCTCCCGGCCTCCCGGCACAATCCTCAGAGAGACAGCCTCCCGGCACGGTCCTCAGAGGGGCAGCCTCCCTGGCAGTGGTAAAGCGCTGGTCATTTGGGTCATCTCTGTTACCTACAGTTATTTCACTAAAGGCTGGATGTTTTTATTAAAACGATAAACATGGAATCATCTGCTCTCTCCTCAGACCAGCTCTGATGTCCAGACGTTGTTTATGAGCATAGACAGTCTGTGTAAGAAGTACTCCCAGGAGACCTCCCAGGTGAGTCCTGACAGCGAGGCTTACTGAGTTCTGTGATGCCCAGAGCAAATATTGCTGAGGCCTGTGGGACATGCAAATACTTTCTGTCTCCTCTGAGCTCGTTCCATCTTCATGGTGGTCAAGCGTTTGCAGCACAGAAGTTTTCAGCTGTTGCATCATGCCTTTAACCAGTGCTGTTGTTGCTTGCACTTGGGTGTGGCCCCACATGAGCCGTGCTCAGCTGCGCTGGTTTTCAGTTAATGTTCCTGAGCCTCTCGGGCTCGGAAGTCCAGCTCTCTTATGTAGCAAGGGGCTCTCCTGATACACCTTCCCTGGATCCCATGAGACCTGCCTGTCTTGTAGCTTCTCTCCACTAGTTTCTTCCTACCTTTCTCCCCACCAGCACACACGCCACATGCCACACGCCGCCACCTGTGCTTGTGGTGAGGACTTCTGCAAAACAGCCTCAGGACTCACTTCACACTGCTCTTAATCGTCTGCTCAAGCAGCTCCAAGTCTGTCATCCTTCCTTGTCTTATAAAGACCTGAGCCCTGCCAAAAAATAAAGTAGAATCAGCGCCCAGGAGGCTGGAGAGGGTAGGACCTCGCCCTCTGACGGGACGGCAGGCTTCACGCCCGTCTCCGCAGCCCTCTGTCCCAGCTAATGCAAAGGAGGTTGTGCTCCCCTACAGGGTCAGTGAGGGTGGGCAGAATGCAGACCGTTGTCTGTGTCTGTTGTTAAGCACAGATTGCTGGGGTGGAGTGAAGTGAGCCACGACGCGTGGATAGCAGACTCTGAATTCTACTTCAGCCCCCACTCAGCCTGGGCTGTGCACTCGTCAGTGCAGCATTCGTTGGAACAGTGACCAGTGGGTTACTGCTTCATCACTCACAGGAAATGGCTTTCTCCCCAAGTTTTAGACCACTGCTGCCTCACTCTCATCGATCTCAGAAGCCCAGACTATTCTCAGCACACATGGAACTGGGCTCTGAAGAATGGGAGGCTAACGGTAGTACACGTCTCTGTGAGTCCTGACAAGGCCCTGCCAATCTTGCTGGACTTCCTTGTCCTGGCTCTCCATCCCCACCCAAATCTATGTGTCAGATTCAAGATGTCCTCTGATTGGTACTACTTAGGCAGACGGCCATTCTTCAAGCTAACGACTGTTGTCCTTATAACTGTGCACAGCAGTTGACCCAGTAGGGTCAACTGTCCCCTAAAGTGAGCATACCGCCCAGGCAGTTTAACAGGAAAGGCGGCTTGGTACACAGACAGCTGGGGATTCGGGAGCTCTTCATGTGAAGCAGCTCCTCTTGCCCCTGCGTTTGATGAGCTTGTGGCTCACTCCTGCAACATCTGTGTACTGCCCACTGGACGCAGCCAGCACCCAACCCGGTACCCTCCCCCAAGTCTTTATCAGGAGGACTTTGTTAGAGAAGTACATGTAAAACAAAACACTATGACCCACAGTTCCGTGTCTCCAAGAGCTATGTCAATGCCGGGCGCTGGTGGCTCACGCCTGTAATCCTAGCTACTCAGGAGGCTGAGATCTGAGGATTGCGGTTCAAAGCCAGCCTGGGCAGGAGAGACCGTGAGACTCCTATCTCCAATAAACCACCAGAAAACCGGAAGTGGCGCTGTAGCTCAAGTGGTAGTGCCTTGAGCTGAAGAGCTGAGGGACAGCGCCCAGGCCCAGAGTTCAAGCCCCACGACCGACCAAAAAAAAAAAAAAAAAGAGCTATGTCAGCAACTGACATATGTCATCTTCTCAGATTTCAGAATTTCAAGAAAAACACCGGAGGAGATTGTTGGCCTTCTATAAAGAAAAGGTAAATTGAATTCATCTCTTGCCACTTGAAATGTTTGACCCTTTGACTTAAATGTCCACACTGTTAGCTAACTTCACATTCCTTTTTTTTGGTCAGTCTTAGGGCCTGAACTCTGGGCCTAGGCACTGTCCCTGAGCCCTAGCTCAAGGCTAGGACTCTACCACTTGAGCCACAGCACCACTTCTGCATTTTCTGTGTATGTGGTACTGAGGAATCTAACCTGGGGCTTCCTGCATAGTAGGCAAGCGCTCTGCCACTAGGCAACATTCTCAGCCCTAACTTCACACTCTTAAAGGGAGTAGGCTACCTGTTGTGGTGTTTGCTTTCTACCTTTAGGGTCATGGTCTCCTGTCCTCCTGACCATCAGTCTGTTTGCCTGACAACACCTGCCCAGGGACCTCTGGGATGTCGTCTACACAAGCATACCCATGTGGTCATCTGGGCCTCCTCAGCTGAAGCTGGGCCTCTTGAGCCTGGGAGTAGCACCTAGGCCTCTCTGATCACCCATCTTTGTTTTACTAAATAGAAGTCCTTTAAAACAAAGGCTGTGAAGCCCTGGAGTTGGGGTGCTCCTCAAATCTAGATGTGCTTCCCCAGCTTGGTGCCTTTTCTCTGTACGGAAGCAGCAGGCCTGCAGGGTGCTCAGGTTCTGTATGTTGCCCTAAGCAGTAGGAGCCTGCTTGCATTATGCCCTGTCTTGCCTGAGAATTTTGTGTGTTGTTGCCTTCTCAGTCCTCCCTGCAAACCTACAGGACAGGAAATAGGAGCTTCATTTACAGAAACCACCATAGAATCTGACGACCCATGTCAAGTCAGTACCTCAAGAGCTCATAGGTGCCGGGCAACAGTGACAGAGGCAGACCTAAGCACCAGGAGAGGCCCAGACTGACTTTGGTCCTGAAATCGCCTGTGTGTACACAAATGTGTCTCAGACTTTTGAGACCAGAGTCCCAGTAGCATTGATTACTCTGTAGCATTGATTCACTCTGGGCATCAACTGACTGACTCCGCTCTGCACAGATAGACCTCAGAACCTGATCGCTAAGGATGTAATGAACTGGGCTTGTCGGGAAATCTGATAGAGATGTTTAGAAATGTAGCTGCCGTTTTCCAGGGTCTTCTGATGATAGAATTGTTTCTGTTCAGATCTCTCAGTTGGAAGTGTCTCTTAGGAAATCAGTGCTCCAGACTGAGCAGCTACAAAGGTAAGAACCCCTCTGCAAGACAGTCATCTATCTCTGTCCCTCCAAAATCTGGGAAGGAAAGGAAAGGGCACTTTGGCTTAGCAGAAACTCTGTCAGAGCAAAAGCTGCTGTGGGAAAACCAAAGGGAAAAAAAACAGAAACAAGCATGTAAAACCCTGTGGGGCCCTCCATGACCCTAAGGCAGAAGGGGCCGTGGAGACTACAGACTCAGGCCCCTTGACGGTGACGCTACAGTCCTGCTCCCCGACCCTCGCAGCGTGTTGAGGCGGTGGACATGCGTGGCCGTGCAGAGTGCTGCTTTACGGGCACTGTAGCCCGCACCACCGGTGGGAAGACAGCCCAGAGCACAGACTCACCTTTCCCTCTTCAGAAAAGCGAGCTTTTAGTTTTTCTCTCTTCTTTTTTTTTTTTTTTTGTCGGTCATGGGGCTTGAACTCTGGGCCTGGGCGCTGTCCCTCAGCTCTTCAGCTCAAGGCGAGCACTCTACCACTTGAGCTACAGCG